GAAACACACCCAAGAACACACGGCCACCTGATTTTCAACAAGGGCACCAAGACCGTGAAGAAAGGGTGATCTCTTCAATAAGCTGGTATGTGCACGCAAGAGAGTAAGATCGGCCACTCCCACCGCACACAAAAATCAAAGCGCCTCACCCGCGCCCCGAAGCTGCATAACTCCCAGAAGAAAGCAAGGCGGGTGCTTCGGACGCGGGTTGGCCACGACTTTCCAACAGGTGCAACAGCTGGAGCAACGCAAGCCAAAACCATGATGAGAACGAGATCAAGCTGGAAAGCTTATGCGAAGCTCCGGGAGCACCCACACCAAGAGCTCACGTGACCCCAGTAAAAATAACATGATTTAAAAATAAGCAAAAGATGCAAACGAAAATTTTTCCAGAGAATACATAAAAATGCCCACTAGGAATATGAAAGCTATTCGATATCAGTATTTGTTTGAGAAATTCAAATCAAATCTCCAGTAAGATAATTTTTCTTAACTGCTAGGTTAGATAAAATAAAAAAGATAATGAAAAGAGCAGTTAATGCTTAATTTTTTTCTTTTTTTTTCATTAAGCACAATACAGCAATTTATTTAGATGCTTAAAATGAATACAAAGGAAAATAAAGATCACAAAATTATCCATACTACACAGTGTGTCATCTATTAGATGGTATAAATGAGTACACCAGTGTGGCATTTAACTAAAGAGAAAACTAAATATCCAGAATGCAGCACTCATTTGCCGGCTGCTTTAACACACACTTTTATTCAGATCTAAAAGGTGTCAAAATTAGTAGCTGCAAAGTCAATTCTTGCATGTGATTTTAGCTTAAAAGATTTCAGAAACACCTGAAATACCAGTTTTTGACAGTTGTAATGTCAAGAATATTCAGAACAAGAAAAATTCTATAACACAAGAGTCCAGATATATATCTTAAGTGACTGGCCTCTGTTGCAAGATTGTACAAGGTTATGTGCAAAAACTAAGTCTGTCCAAAGGTCCATACTAGCGCAGGTTCAAGCTTTTGCTAGGGAAACTAGATACAGCGTTTATTACACAGCAAGGGCAACACTAAAAAAAAAAAAACATCTATGATGGGCACACAATACTGTAAGCATCACTTGAATAGGTCTAAAAGACTGTACAAATATACATTTCAACTACTCAGAATGAATATATGAAAAAAAATTGATTTTCCCAAAGTCTATTGTACACATTACACTGGTAGCTTGTGTGTTGGCCCTACACTACCAAGTGAATCAGCATAACGCTTCTCAAGGACATCCAACCATTTTACAGAGTGAAAGAAAAAGTTGAAAAGGAAGGTAAAATAAACCTCTGCTTTTCCTCATGTGCATTCGTGAGCCACGAGCACACTGGTTTTTCATAGTCACCATGTCTATCAGAAAAGGCTCTGAAGCTTAAGATCAGCCAATCATGTGTCACAGACTCAGAAGTAACCACTGGGACTGCAACTTGTCCCTACAGCCTGCTGACCAGGCATAACAAGGCAGTACCAATGAAGACAGCTTTGCAGTCAGACTGGAGGAAAAAGTGAGCTCCAGCTGCAGCACGTCACTAGTGCAGCAAGGCCAGCACTCAAGCCTGCTGGCTGCTTAGTTTAACTCCCGTTAAATTGCCATGCATTGGCTCAGCCACTCCATCAATCATGTTGTCAAATTGTTCCCCATCCTCACTGTCAATTGTGCTATTCTGCCACTCAATCTGGGGGTTAGATAAGCGCTCATTATTCTCAGATGCATTCTTCCACTGTGACTGGTCCTTGGACCAAAATCCTTCAACTTTTCCATAGGAACTATTCTTCCATTTCAACTGCTCTCTGTCACTTGGCGTGGTAGCCTTTTTTTTGGCAGCTGGCTTACTGCTCCTCGTATCTTCACTCTGGGAAGACTCATCAGACCAGGTTCCTGGTTTCATTTCACACGTGTTATCCTCAAAGTCTGACACCTGTTGGGAACCAGGCCCGCTCTCAGATGGGGAAGCACCCTCTTTCCATTCAACAACATCATCTTGGTCAACCTCACTATCAGAAGCATCATGCATTAGTTTGGCTGGTTCCTCAGTCAAATGAATAGTTTCGTATTTTGAACCATCCTCCTCTTTTTGGTCTAGCTTCTCTTCAGATTCTAGAGCATCCTCAGGAATTACCTTCGGTACATGTTCCTCTGGGTTATCATTAGGAATCTTAGGCTCAACTTCAAAAACTGGGTCAAAAGGGCTACCGCTTCCAGTAGATTCCTCTTCCAAATTTTCAAAACTATCTGATGAACTGTAATTTTTTTTCTTCTCTTTAATTTTTTGACCAATTTGGGAAGCTTACATCGGGTGATCTGAGCAACTAATTTGAAGACAACAATATACAATGTAACAACCATTGTTGAATTCCAATATTTTTGTTTAGTGAAATTCTATATTGTTTCTAACTTTTTACTACTTTTTATTCTCTTTAAAAATAAAAAAATAATAAATATAAAATACAGGGGCCAAGGAGATGGCTCAGTGGAATAAGTGCTTGCCTGGCAAGCGCAAAGTCCTGAGTTTGATCCCTGGTACCCCAAAAGAATAGAATAAAAACACAAGAAAAGATCAACAATAAGTGTATTATGAAGGAGAGGACAAAAGAGAGCTCTGGGACGGTGTTGGCGGGAAGGTACTCACGGACTCCTGTGACCATTACAAAGGCGATGCAGAAGCACCTGAAGAGGTGAAAGCAGAGCCCTCACGTGATCCCGCAGGCTTGCATCAAAGTACGCCCCCCAAAGGAGACGAAATTACTACCTTGTGGAGACGTGTAGCATGCCCATATGGTGGATACATGTAATACATAACATATACATACATATGTATGTGTGTGTGTGTGTATATATATATATATGTATGTATCTGCAATAAGCACTTCAGAATTCATATCCATATGAGAACATGTTACATACCTTAAATTTATATGATGAAAATTTTTAAAAAGTCAACTGCTATCCTGTGACCCGAATAAAACAATGCAAATTGAAATTAAAAGGGAATGCTCTTACACTTAAAAAATATGAAATACTTCGGCATAATTCTGATAAAAAATATGTACAGTGTGGAAAGGAAAATAGCTGACTTACAACAGCATTACAAAGAATAACTTATTCAGGGATAAATTTGCCAGTGAGTTTATTATACTGAAACAATAAATCCTCACTAAAAGAAAGTAAAAAAGCCCTAAATTACTGGGAAAGACTCCCATGGTCTTGAATTAGAAGACAGTGTTGCTAAGTGGCAATAACTCTGTCTTAGTTATGTTCGTCCCCGAGACAAAATACCCCGCAGACCAAGTTGGAGGAGGGAAGTTTCATTTAGCCCACGGTTTGTAGGGACTTCAGTCCATTACCAGCTGGCTCCAAGGCAGGGTGGCATCTCAGAGGAGAACAGGTCATGGTGGCAGAAGGCAGCAAAGCACACGAGGTGACCCCAGCTCTGTCTGTCCTTTATCTGACCCCGCTGCGCAGGGCGGGCAGCACTCACACCCTCCACCCTCGTACGCCGGGAGTTGATCCCACCATCGTGCCCTCTACACACAGCCGCCTCTGACAACGCCCCCTGTGAGCTCATGAGCTCTGGGGAAATCCAGATGTGAGCCACAGCAACATCCAGACCTCTATGCAAACTTACTGCGATCCCTGCCACAGTGCCAAGGGGTTCTAAGGCAGGAACGGAAAAGCAGACAGCAGGATTCACGTGGAAATGCAGTCACCCTCAGCTGACTAATGACCCGCTGGAGAGGAAGTGCCAAGCGGAGGACTCTCCCTTCCTGATTCCCACCTGATCCAAAGCCACAGTAACCACAGCGATGTGCCACTGGTGTCACGCCACCAGAGCCACAAAGCGGAGGGTGGCTTCAGAAGCAAGCCGGCGCACCGTGCCTAACTACAAAGAACCCTCACTGAAGAAAGGAGAAACACAGCCTGGCTATACAAGGGCTGAAGTACAAATATTCCTCCAAGAAGCTGCATGCGTGGCCAGCAGCACGTGGGAGGACTGTCCCCGGCGTCAGTCACGCAGAAGACTGGGCAAGCTCACAGGGCTCGTTCCTGCGCGGCTCATCCCATTCCTCACAGAGTCAAACACAAAAGCGGCCCGAGGACTCGTCTGCCCAGCAAACCAGCCAGGGAGCAAGGATTTCATCTCTCTATGAATGTGAGGCAGAGTCCTGGAGGAGCGAGCTGCAGCCTACTGCTAGTCACTTCCTGGGCACTCACAAAAATCCTCCGCATTTCCTGGGGAAGAGGAGAGAAAGCAAAAAGGGAGGTAAAAGATTGAAACGAGGCTCAACTGCTGCTCTTTTCCTTTAAAGCTCCATGCTTCTCAACTGTGTCTCTAAAATGTCACCCTTAGATGACAGAGAGCAAGGGAGGGAGGGAAGAAGGGAAGAGCGAGAGAGAACGGTGAGAGAAATGGCTAAGCACATCAAATGCTGAATGCGGACAAATCAGGGACAAGAGGAAAAGGAGGAAGAAAGGACCACAGCAAGCAGCCTCAGAGGCGGTGGAATGGGGCTGGCACATCGGGCCTACGAAGCACACAGGTGGGTGCTCCCAAGAGGTCGCTGATGAACAGACCACCGGTACACCTGAGGGCTCAAGGACACTGCATCCCCGTTCCGCACTATTAAGAAAAGCACAGGAGTAACCCATCTTAGAATGAGGTATTTTCAAAAATGCAACCTCTGTGACGGAATGTCATGACAGAGCATTATCCTGAGAGCCACCTCACAGGAAATTGCCATTCCAGGTGGAAGAGTCCAGAGAGCAGGCGTCGCGGTAAGTGCGCGACTCAGTGCACCTTCACTGGGGACTCGTTACTAAGTCCAAGTAGAGATCGGGAAACTTAAACACATTTGTAACATTTGTATCCTAAAAATGCTTGTGCTAATTAACATGCATTATAAGTGTATTAGTTATACACTTTCCACTTCTCAAAACATTGTGTACATCCTTACCTGAAAACGTAAAGAACAGCTCATTTTGCAGGCCAGCCTTTTGCATCTTGACACGATGGCACTGAGACTTAAGTAAGGAGACCTCACACGAAAGGTCAAGAACCAACTTGCTTAAAATCTGAAGAAGCTTCTTCTCAAAAGAAATATTGTAGATGCTATTGCAAGGAGCTGCATGGTATCGAGCCGTGAACTGGTAGTGGTAACGAGGCTCTCGGTAGGCTGGAGGAGTTAAACAGAGAAAGACACGGACGTGGTCACTCAGCTAAATAAAAGAATACTGCAGCCCGGGATAAATTATTAAAGCAAATTAACAGAACATGTTTTATATATGGCTACATTCACTTCCACTTAAAATCACTTTTCTGACAGTTACCAAGTGCAGCTGCCATCAGGGGCGCTCACACACACTTAGTCTCTTAACATCGAAGCTGCATTGTCGCACTCAAACAAACTGAGGGGCGCAGCATGGCGTCCTCCGACCGACGCCTGCCCCGCTGGGGCGAAGCCTGCGGCCTCAGTGCTGTGCCCTGACCCCATCTGTGCCCCTCGGAAGCAGCTCTGTCAATGCTCTGCACCTAAACACCAGCCTCGGAAGAAACTGAAGGCACGTATGAGGTGTGGCTAAAAAATGCAGTGACTATAATTTTCTTTAAAAAAATCCAGGGCCCGAGGAGATGGGTCAGTGGCATAAGCACCTGCCTGTCAAGCACAAGGTCTTGAGTTTGATCCCAGGTACTGCAAAAACAAACAAACAACAACCTGATAATCATCCATTACCATAAAAGACACACTCCCATGACGTGCCCTCACTGTTCTGCCCCGCGCCTCAAACACAGAGGTCCCGTCACCCTCCACGCCTGCCAGCAGCACTGCACGTCCTCTGTCGGGGCTCTGGCTGCGTGGCTGGGGCTGCCTTGACGTTCTCAGCAGATTTCAGCATTCACCTTTCATGGCCATTTTGACCATGGGGAAGAGCCGGAAGTCACACGGTGCCAGACCCCATGATTAAAATAGACAAGACACACAGTGCCCCCATGCCATTAGGAGCCCGCCTTTCCCCTGGATGGCCCTTGCCCAGCAGCGGCGGCTGTGACCACACCGTGGGAAGACAGGCAGGAAAGAGAACTGCAGAACCACCTCAGAAGCCAGAAAGCGCAACAGCAGAAACACGTGCAGTGCCTGCAGCGGTGTCTTGAGGGAAGTTCATCCAGTTTACTGGATTTTAAAAAATGATTGTAAATCTTAGATCACATCTGGTAATTACCAAATTACTTTTCTAACAGTTGGTTAGAAATTAGCAAAATTACCAAAAACAGTCAAACAAGTATGTTTCTAATAACTCTATAGTTCACTGTATTGAGTTCGGTACAACATTTAGAAATAAAACCATGTGTTCTTTTCCAAGTCCATCCCCAAATCTTATCTGAAAGATACAAGAAATGTAGAAATGAAGACTAATGTATAACAGTACCAACAATCAGGAAGGTTCGCCTCCCATGACTGGGCGCTCTGGGCCGTGGGAGCCAGTGCTAGCACTGCCCACTGCCCCGCACCCCAGGTGCTGAGCCCCCTCTCAGCTCAGTGACCACTGTGAGGCCTCACAGCTCCTGACCCCCAAGGAAACCTCTAGCACCTGCTCACAGGGCTAGGAAGGGAAACGGACGCCCCTGCCTCACTGTGGGGACATCCAAGACCACTGAAGTAAGACGTAACAAATCAAGAGAAAGAAACCTAAAAGATAGTTCATAGAGGAGGGATTAATAGAAATGTAAAAGAGTTCATGGAGCAGGGATTAATAAGTTTCTGGAGCTTTAAACATAAAAGACAAAAAAGTATAAATTATTATAAGCTATTGGCAAAGAGAAATGATCAACAAATAGTTATTCTTGAAAAACTGAAACACACAAAATACTGAAGTTGAGAAAACTATCTGAAATCATAAAACACAAAACTCTACTCAAACCCTTTGCAAAATGTACATTAAAATTCTCACTCAGAATATAGTAAAATTAGAAACAAATTAAAACTATAAGCAACATGAGATAGTAACAGCAATCTTAGCAAGTGACAAAAGACTTCCAGAATGGAGCAGAGTCAACAACAAAAAGTTAATCAAGGGAGACAGGAAAAGTGTCATGCAAGCGGAGAAACGATCTGTGTCACCACACCAAGGCATATTAGCAGTAAGCAAGCGTACTGCAAAGAAATGCCACGTCCAGACCCAAGTCGTATAAATGCACGACCCTGCGAGAGAGTCACCTACAGCATGCAACAGGCAAACTTACTTCTTAGTTGCTACACACACATACACACACACATGCACCATGGTTTACACCACCAAAGGTATGAACATATGCAAATGTCACAGAATACTGGAGCCTGAGGCACCAGTGCTGGTAGCTGGACCGAGGCTCAGGACATGCGTGGGGACAGCGAGCACCTCCCGACCTGAAGGCTGAACACCAGCAACTTTCTCTCCAGAAGTCGGTCCTGTGCCGCGCTACAACCTGAGACAGAGGGAAGCTGAATTTGGGTTCCCATAGCCTCAAATGCTCTTAAGCGTTGCACCAAATGGCATCTTCCAAACGTCCAGGGCAAGCGCACGAGGACCACACCATGTGCTCACATGGAAGAGATGTCCACAGGCCAGAGCTGCGGGAGGCCTCGCCCTGCGGACAAGAGTTCTTTCCCCTCCCGACAACAGCTGCATGCACCTGAGACTCTGAACTCCTAATCCTACGATAGTTTGTGTTTCCAGGTCCACTCGCTGCCCAGGCAGGACCCTAGCAAGCCCTGGGTACTAAGTTTCTAGTGGATCCCCAGGATGTGGTTGTTAAAATGCACGAAGTAAAACATAAACTGGCAGTAATTTTTGATTAAAAGAAATAAAAAATAGGAAAATCATAGGTAAAACAAAACTGTAATAATGTATGTTTTAAAACTATGAAAAGTTAGGGCCAGCCAAATAGCTCAGCAGATTGAGGCGCCTGCTTAGGCAGAGTGCAGCATGCCCTGCCAGCCCCGCCCCTAGGGTGTGCTGAGATAGCAATTGAGACTGGACGTGGTGGTACGCGCCTGTAATCCCAGCTCTGGGGAGGCTGAACACAGGAGGATCACTAGGAGTCCCATCTACGTAGTAAGACCCTGTAGGCCCTGCAGACCCTGTCCTAAAATACTAAATAAATATAAAAAAATAAAACTGTGAAAAGTTAAAACACAAATTCACCTCTTACCATACACAACATATTTCAGTTGAATATTTTTGATAGGTTCCTCCATGGTAGGTCTGTATTCCAGGAAACACGTGTAAACCCCGCTCATCGTCTCCTCGAAGTTCTGGAACACGAGGCTCCCCGTGGAGGTGACTTGTGCGGTGCTGTTTTCTGGTAAAGGAGCAATACAGTTGTTTCAGGTACATGAGACACATAACACGCCAGGGCACTTCTCAGCACGGAAAACCACCAGCATCCGTCCCACAGCCACCGGCAGGGCCAGGACCCAGCCAGCCTGGTGTCTGCCGTCTGCTGACCAGGACGGCTTCTCGGCGTCCAACGACCATGACCACAGGTCTTCAACAGCGCGGCCGAGAGGCCGACAGTGAGATGCCACTTGTGTCTCAGCCTGCCCCTGCACTGAACAGGGCACTGTCAAAGGCAGAGCATGTATATACACGTATGTACAGTGTGCACATACGTATACATAGTATACATGTGACACATATGTTCATATATGAAGTATGTATTTTATACAGCATGTGTTCATATATACTCTATTTGTTTTATTTTATTTTTTGGCGGAACTGGGGATTGAACTCAGGCCCTTGTGCATGCCAGGCAAGTGCTTATTCTACTGAGCCATCTCCCCAGCCCTTTCATATATACTATATTTGTAATGAGGAGTTACAGCCTCAGCAAGCTTAGGAAACAATGGAAAAGTATATCTAGAATAAGAAAAATAAAATCATTAACCACCAGCGATTTCATGCAGCTACCCAAGAAGACACAGGTGCAAGCTGGGTCATAACCGTGGGAGTCAGAGGAATGAAAACAAAGAGGACGGGCAGATCTGGCCCGCTCTGGGGCACACGGCCCTGGGGTCGTGCCCCGACCGGAGTTCTGACGGGCTGCAAGCCCCTGATTGCTGCAGTGGCCTCAGCTATCGCCCGGGGAGAAGGCTGTGCTGAAAACTGCAACACGCTTGCCCTGGAGGCCTCTGGGCCCGCGCTGCAGGACTGCTCTTCTCGTCACCCACGGAGCAACCTTGAGGGACTGCTTTATCTTTGTGAAGTCCAGCCCTGTCCTTGCACAAAATATGATGGGCTATCAGACTTTTCTGTACAACAAATATAATACTTAATTTGGTAGTTGGAACAGCTACAAATAAATAAGCAAATAAGACGTAATTTCAAAAGTTCATAACTACACTTTTGCATCAGAAAAGTCCTCAAACATTGAATTTCATAGTCAATAATGTAATATTCTATTTATCCGAATGGACGATATTGCCTCAGGAAATGATTTTTTTAGTAATGACAATGTTTACAGATTACAAGCCAAAATGTTTCTTCAAACTAAAGCAGGTAAGTGCACTTGGTGCTGAAATTTTTCTCATTGATTTGTAAATTAATTTTTATTTAATTTCTAGGACATGCAAAGCCCAGCCAGGGAGAAGGGCACAGATGCGCACAGCTCCCTGCAGGAATTCACGTGGTGCACGACCCCAGGAGCGTCAGGAATTACAAAATGCACATTTAAGTGCCTATGAAATAATAAGTATTTTGAGAGCCAAAAAATCAGGTATCAAGCACTCTATATGTATATGCAAGATGGTGAGGGTAGACACACAGCTACTTTCTCTTAGTTCAATGAGAACAAAGATTTGTACTAATAGTGTTTAGACAAGAGATCATGTCTGCATCTTGTCCTCTGAATAACCATTACGAAGACAACAATACGCAATGTATTAGTTACTGTAAATGACCTACTAACCTGTTTTGAAACTGTTTCATTATTATTTTATCTTTTTTCTCATTAAAATGAATTTTTAAAATGTCCTCTGGATATATTCAGGTTTAAAAATACTGAAGAGCGCACTTTAAAAAGATACCCAGAGGACTGCATATCAAACACAAAAATTCACAGTACAGTATTTTGCATCAGGGTTGCGCATGGATCCGCACGGGGCCGCAGGAAGTGGGCATTCACCGAGCTGGGCTGGGCACCGTGAGGACAAAGGAAATGGCACCAGAAGGCATGCGCCCACAGATATTTCATAAACAGCGGTTTCATTAAAGTGGGCACACACTTCCTTCCTTAGTTGATTATCTAAAAGTTCCTGGAGTTAGACAGGTTTTATAGGGGACTATGTCTTAGAAATCTAAAATATATGACATAAAATTAAGCACAATTTAATTATAGCTTATTATTTTCAAAAACAGGATTATACTACTTCTGGTTTCTGCTCAGATATAAAAAGGACTTATGAAATAGCAATATGGTCATTACAAAAAGGGGGAAAAAACCCTAGAAAACATGGCGATTGACAGCTTTTCTTGATCCCATTATGGAGTTGAGGAGGTAGGGCAACTGCAAGGGTAGACGACCAGCACTTGGGCCAGGGCTGGACGCGAGCAGCAGCCGGCCGCGGAGCAGGTGAGAAGACTGGTTAAAGCTGCTTCTGTTGAACTGGTGTAAGCAGGCAGAGAGCCTGGAGAGCAGACAAGCCCTCCGGGGCACAGACAATGCAAGATGACCCCCTGTTGACAGGCTCCTCACTCACAAGCACTGCCCGCGCTCAAAGGGAAGATCGCAGCACCTGGGGCAGGCTCCCTGTGGGATGCTACACTAAAACTATCCTGAGGTCAGGATATCAGAATTCCCTCACGAAGAGATGGATGGACAGATCAGACAGATACAGGTAAGTAGCCAGCAGGCAGGCAGACTGTATTAATGTGGTTTTATCCTTACTGGGAAATAGCTACATTTGTAAATATCTAATTTTCCATTATGAAAGTGCTCCTACTAGAAGCATAAATTGAATTATGTGCTATACTTTGCAGTACAAACAGCAAGCCATAGCATGCTGTCTTAAGAAAAAAATTTCAATTTCCAAATCAAAGAAACAACAAACACAAGAGAAAAAGTCCATACCTCAATGTTTTATTTTTCAACTTACAGAGTTTCACTATCAAATGTAGAATATATGTAAAATACACGTTTGCATTATAGCATGTAGCTATATCAGAGAATAAAAGAAAAACTTGGTTATATTTATAGCACTGAGTCCATCGGACCATTCCACTGATGTCTGGGAAGTGTTGCGCCTGGCAGGATTTCTCTCCCTGGCCCCTCCCACTTCCGTGAGCACATGGCATGATGGTCCTACCATGTTACTGCTGTGAGGTGGAGGCTGCCTCTAACTTTCTGTCTCCGCAACGGCATCTGCCAAGTAGATGCACTCTGAAAGAGCCACTTTGTGGTCGAAAGAGTAGATTAACTCTTTAAAGCCTGAGCTACTAAAATCAACATAAATATTACAAAGATGTATACCACTCAACTATGTAAAATATGAATTAAAACATGCGGAAAAACAAAGTTGCCTACAAACGCTTCCTCAGCAAATCTTTACACTATATTCATTCTCCCTCAGTGAAGACAGTTGAGTAAGCTACCAGGTTTTAATCTAAGGAGCTGTTCAATTGACCAATGTGCCTTAAAAACTGAAACAACTGCAAAAAGGAAAACATGGTGAAGAAAAATTTCCTCTGTGGAATGCAAAAATGAGTAAGTAGTTCTTCATCAAACAAGTCTTCAGATAAAAAGTGGCTAGTCTCTGCTTTAGCTAGGATAAAGTCCAACCAAGGCAATTTACACTTTTTAAAGTACCAATTTCTCAAATTAGAAACTTAGAATAAAGATAAGCTATGTACTTTAAAACAAAATAAGAAGGTGAAAAGGGAAAATACTAATCAAGTCAGTCACACAAACACTACCTTCTCCCGAGAGGTGACTGCTCTGGGCCTAGAGACACACAGACACGTCTCCAAACACCTCAGACTTCTAGAATGTCCTTATATTCAGTAAAGAGATACAAAAGTGGTGACATGATCTACATGAAAACATCTAACACCAGGAGAGAATTACAAAGAAAAGAACTGAAAATAAGTAAGTTATGAGATCTAAATATTCTTTTCATCGAGTGCACTTAAAACATATCTATTGAAGAATTTATGCCGTCTTCCGGGAACCCCCAGACCCAGTCCTAGCCGAGGTCCGCAGCGGGAAGGAGCTGAGCACAGCAGCCAGACCTAAGCCAGACGCAGCTGGGTAACTCCAAAATCTGTAGAGCTCCACCTGAACTTCAGTACGTGTGAAGGTTAT